GCAGTAGCAGTAGCAGCAGTGGTAGCTGTAGCAGGGTGATTTTCTTCATCATATAGACAAGTATTCAAGATGATAAAACAAAACGTGCAGGTTACCTCCGCTTGGGGGTTGGCTGGGGCCGTCTTGCTTACACTGGAATCCTTAGCCTTTTTACAACCCATTACAACCCGGTGGATGAAATCGGCTACCTGCCGTGCTTGGTTGAACGTACTGTTGTTGAGGGTGTAGGGGTTCAGGAAGTGTTTTAGCGATGAGGGTTTGGGGCTTTAGGTTGTCTTGGGTTTAGGATGTACGTTTATCCCGGTCAAAGTTCGTAAGTTTCAGCTCGGGGCTTGCAGAGGGTATGTAAGCTTCGGGGTCAGAGGCAATTCGGAGTTGGGTCTTCCTGCAAACAAAACTATAACCCTCTAAGCCCTGAACCCCCCACCCCACACCCCACACCCCACACCCCACACCCCACACCCCACACCCCACACCCCACACCCCACACCCCACACCCCACACCCCACACCACCCCACCTTGTCCATTCCCAAAACCCCAAACCCCCAAGCCAAACCACAACGTCAACCCACCCACCAACCTTTGCAGCTTACATCCTCTCCCCCTACTAAACCTCAGCCCCAAAACGCTGAACAACCCTAAACCCTAAACCTGAAACTCAGAACCTGAGACCCCTGAACCCTGTGACGACATCAGCGCAATTCCGAGATCTCTGAGCCGCCAGCCAAGGACCACGGTCTCGCCCTTGGGATCTAAAGGCCTGCAAGCTTTGGTTTAGGGTTTGGGCTTTAGGGTTTAAAGGTTCAGGGGTTTAGTGGGGCTTTGGGATGGTCGTGGTGGAGATTACCTCTGGATCCAACGACCTACTGCTTCAAGGGCTGTGGCCTACAACTATTAGGAATCATAACCTACTATCTTACAGGCTTTGGGGCCGCCGTGGCGTTTACGGTCTAGGAGTTCAGTGACTCAAAGATCTTTGTTTGAAGCCTCCTGTCTTTTCTCTCCGCTTGCCTGCTTGTAGGGTCTAGGGTTCAAGATGTTTGGGAGTTTAGGATTCCGAGCTAAGGGGCTCGTGCTTAAGGGTTTAGGGCTGAGGGCTTCGGGATGCTGCGGACTCAGAACTATATTTGAAGCTAATATGAAGGAGCCGCGTTTCCTTGTAATTGTCCTTCCCAGATTACTGGGGGCAGCACTTGGCGCTTGAATCTTTCAGCGACTGCCGCGCCCCACTTGGACAGAACCTCAGCAGCGGCGATGCGTTGGCTCAGCCCTAAACCCTAAAAACGCTGAGCTAGAACCCTAAGCACCCTAAACCCTAAACCTTAAACCCTAAACCCGAAACCTTAAACCCTGAACCCTAAACCCTGCACACGAAACCTTCGACCCTGAGCTGGAAATCCAGGCCCCCGCACCCTAAACTTGAAGTCGTAGCGCCTAATCGCTTAACCTTTACCTACCCCGAAAGGGTCCATGTACTCAAATAGTAGATACTTTGGCCTTAAAGTAGTCCCCCTAAACCCTAAACCCTAAACCGTACCTGAACCGTTAGGGTGTAGGCTCCATAGTCGTTCCTTCTTGTGGTTGATATATAGGATCCTGAAAGATAATCCCACAAAAGAACTATCATGGAGCCTATGGGTAATCCCAAACTTCAAGCCTCAAAAGGGAGACGCAGAGTTTGCAGCCTCGGAAAAGAAGCACTTCGGCGGCTTCTGGGCTCGAGTTCAAAACCCTTACAAAAAGCTTGCTTATCAAAATCTAGTTTCGCCCGTTCTAGTATATGGGTAGTTCTCTAAGTAAGGGTCCCGTGAAGGGTCCTTTTTATAAGGGCGCCGTACTATAGTTGGTGACCTAAACTATACTGAACTTAGACCCCTAGCAAAAATTATAATTTTAGCTGCTTCTTAGGGATTATAGTAGCCAGAGATTAAAAATTATTTCTAAGTACCCCTAAGTAAAAGGGGACCCTCGGCCCTAGTTGAGAGAACTACCCATATGTTGTGGGCAACCTAGACTTACATTCCCACACCTCGGCCCTGAATCCTTATCGATCCCCCATGAAAGTAACCCTTAAAGGCACCCCTAAACTTAAAGCCCTAGCGCCGCTCCAAAGCCTTTCTGCAGATTTTGAACCCTAAGCCCTACACCCCAAGACCCTAACCCCACACACGCGCGCACGCGCGCATCCGGCCATGTGCTTCTCCTTAGATTCTGCCCAATTGCCTCTTTATACAACATGTTGCAGGAGGATGTTTGACGTTCAGCAACACGAGGCGCTGTCGCAAGTGTTCATGCCGTTTTCAAACCCTGCTATTTATAGCGAGTTCGCCTCTTTATAGAACGTGCGTCTCATTCAGCTGGGTCTGACGCTCGTAGTAAGATCCCAAAGCGGATGTCGCGGATCACTTGGGGAACTTGTGCTAAAATGAGCCCTAAGTTTGAGTCCCTCAATTTCTTGAAGCACGAACCCCTCCATTTCCGCAGCCACACGCACGAATTCATGTAATTTACAGCACTTGCCATTTATGCCCTAAAACATACTAATACAGGCCCACCGCCACGCGGCCAGATATCAACGTGTGACCCCCTAACCCCTAAACCCATAAACTCTAAACTTTGAGCCCGAACCTTATCGCACCCTTATCAGATATCTTGTGGGAACCCTCATAGGCACTCTTAAAGCCTTCAAGGGAACCCAAAAGAATCTAATGTAGGGGTTTTAATAATTAGA